TCACTTGTAAGTTGTCTCGCGTCGTTTATTTATAGAGAAAATATGTCTAATTTATAAGTCTAATAAGCGACTCCTCCTACCTCCAATTAGTTTTGGGATAGAACTGATCACTTGAGTTTCATTTGGTCTAACCCTCTTATAGTGCGCTTCATTTGTGTGGACCGCACTCGTTTTGTCCCCCATTTACACTATCCATAACTTGATAACTCAACCAATCATTTGACTCAAAAGCATATAATCGTACTTGCTCGAAATTGGTTCATAAGTCTAAACAACTACACAAAAATATATAAGAGCCAAACCAAATTTGTAACATAATAAACAGTAACAACTAAAGTCAGCCAAAAATTGAAGGCAGTTAACAAAACATTATACAACCATCTCTGACTCACAGTAGATTATCCGTTTTCCATATCTTAACGGCGATTCTATGATCGGAATCTCGGTTTCTCCGACAAAATTCTCGAGCTGTAATGGGAAAGGCGGCCTTCACTATAAAGCGAGAAGATACATCGCACAATCGAACAATAACAGATGAGAGTTAGGAAGGGAATTAACGTAGTGTGAGTGAATTTTTCCTCCACATTTTCAGCCGGAAAATAAGGGGATTTTCCCGCCCAAAATTTGAAATTTGCTCTTCGTCTGAGCTCGTCTTGTAGGAACTAGGAAGACAGCGAAGGCTCCTTTTTCCGGCTTTTATTTTTATTTACCACAAGAATATAAATATATTGCAAATATACGAACTCTTATATTTTATTAGCATTCATACCAAAATGAAGTGCATTTATTTGGTGCTCAATTGTAAACTGCCGATATCAAAGGAATTTATTTTCCTACAATCACTCCCATATAGTAATCAGTTGGAGAAAAAAAAAAAGTGGATATGGATCATCATCATCTTAAGGCGTTGTTTATTTTTTTCCCAATTTGAATTTCAAGTGTACCATCTCTCTCAAAATATAGGAAACACATGACAAAAAATATATACAAAATATACACGATCTTTTCGTAATATACATGTACTAGCTTATACAGAATATATACATATAACATATACAAAATATACACATATTAGTTCATATCAAACACAAAATACACGATCTTTTCGTAATATATATAGAATATATACATAATATATATAATATACCAGATTAATTTATACATAATATATACAGAGTATATTAAATATATACGTCATATATACGCAACATATACTGTCATCATCAGTTTACAAAAAAAAA